TTTAAAATTTATTTCAGGAGACCTAGTTACATAGCTAAGACTTTTCTGTAGCCAAACTGAGCTCTTATTCTAAGCCAGAAAAAAAAAAAACTTGAAGATAAAATATTATATTAGTGAGTACTAATTATTTGATTAGCTTATAGATTTGACATCATGTCAGATCTTGACTTCAAGGCTAGCTAGCTCTTCTAAAGATAAGTTATAGCTTACTCAGGCATTGCAGATTCCTGCAGCATCCGTTAGCAAAAGCCTGCCATCTGAGTTTTGTGGGAGTCCAACCTAGCTCATGAAAATGATTTCTTGTGATCTCCAAGTCTATTAATCCTCTACTTATTTTGTTATGTTCAAGGGTTCCCTCAACTGTAGATTTACCTCCTAAAACACTATTTCGTCAACGCAACCAAGGAACCAGTATCACCAGGAAAAATGAGCAAAAAGTATCTTGGGGGTTGGAGGAAAGACTGCTACAAATCAGCCTGTCCTCAGCTCCTATCCATGCTGATTCAGATTAGTTTCAACACTTGTACTATCTGGGCATACTTTTTAGCTATCTAACCAATACATTCCAGCAAGCTTTATACCATATAATAAAGGAGCCATCAGAAGTGTTTCCCCACTAACAGTTGATAACACGTCACTTGCAGGTAACGTTAGGCACTTGCAAGTGATCTTGCAGCCTTGCTCTTTCACGTAGGTGGCATTGTAAGAATGCAAACCAGACAGGATTTTAGCACAGCTTAGTAATATATTCTAATTTAAATGATAACACTTTATCTTGTTCTAGAAACATTTCATCTCATTTTATAATAACCATGACAGTCAGCCTGAAAGGTATAGTGTGACCAAACCGTGAGAGGCAACTAAAATTTTGCCAGGCTCAATTTTAATAGAATGGTTAGAAAGAAGAGTCAAAGTAATTCCCATATAAAATAATTCCCACTGCAATGGCATTTCCACTTGTACATTTTGGATAACTTTGATGAAACTGCATTTTATTTTATCCAACACATTATAGAGTTCTCAACACTAACTTATAGAGGATATGTATTTTCCATGTATGTTCAGTGATACATTATCCTGTTATTGCTGTATCTGCAGATATGAAATTCATTCGAAGAGTTGAAGATATATAGACAGCAATGATTAAGATGAGCAAGAATAGAAGCTTTTAGAAGAACTGTCCAACAGGCCTTGAATTAGTGAAGTAGTTATCTGTGGATACAATTCCAAGCAAATGATAACTCTTTTAAACCAATGAAATCATTGATAAGGCTTAAATTTATTCACATGTTATAACATTTTGCTAGTTTGGGATGTAAAAAATATTCTGGCCCACAAAACTGAATAGCTGATATGGATGACAACAAGCAAAGCAAAATAGATGTTTATATTCGGTTATGAATTATTTTCTCACTTAACTACATCATGATACCAAAGGGGAGAATAAAAGAGAAGATGTGGTATCAGAGCCAAGTCCTGATGCCAGCTATAAAATGGTAAAACTCCCAGCAGTTTCAAATATATCTTGGTTCCATACATCAAGTTTGAAGGAAGTAGTAACACTGCAGAAGCAAAATATTCAGGTCAATGGGAATAGAGGATTTCTTATTTTCTATTGACCTACCTTTTGGTTAGGAAAGAACAGAATCACTTTTGCCTTTGTCATAAGGGGATAAACTCACCTATCAAGAAATAGCAGGACACATAGGGAAAAAATGGAAGAAAGGAAGACATGAAGCTAGAAGAAAGGCTTTATGAACATGCAAGACAAAAGCATTCTAAAATATAAAAATTCTGGAACATAAAAACCTACGAGGAAACATCTCATTAGAAAAGAAACAGCTAGTTCCTGAAGCTCACGCAAATCCTTTAAATTAGCATTCAGGTAGATATAATCTTGTTGATAACATATGGCCTAATATTTCAGCTCTACTGCACGTTAATGCTTTTAATAACCCATTCTGAAACCTACCAATGATTATTAACAAGTTGAAGGGCAAATATACTTTAAGTGAACTAAGCTGGGCAATACCAGGTCCAGCACCAAATTTTTTTCCTAGTACCTACTATTACTTATAAAACATCTGCAAAAGAACCCTGTAAGTGGGTTGATAATCCTTTTCCCATCAAAAGCACACATGTACAAGCACATGACCTGCTTTATGCATAATTTATTGCTGAGGCTTAGCAATACCAGCCTCACTGATAAGCAATTGTGATGTACTACCTTTCTTCTCCTCAGAAACCTGTGTGTAATAGCTCTAACTAAGCACATATGCAAAAAAATCCAGAAATTCATCAAGCAATTTAGATTTAGAAGTACTGAAAAAGATAGTAAGATACAGAAGGTCATGACTGCATTTGGTATGAATCAAAGCTGAAGTCACGTCATCAGTTTATCACAAAACAATATACCAGATAACAGAAGTCACCCTTCCTGTTTCATTTTACAGCCCTTCTTTAGTTGTGTAGCTACAGAGATGCTTAAATATCCCTTAAGTGGTTTGATGTGACTGTAATGCAGAACTGGTTCCATTAATAAACTAGATCTCTTGATTAATATTCAACTTGATCTGACTAATACCAGTTTCGATTTTGTGTTAATATCCCTTTGCATACCACAATGTGATCACTGGTCAGCTGTTTGCCCAGTGAACGTCAAGAAAGCAAGAAACGAGTAGCAAAAAGTTCATAGAATCATAGAATAACCTGAGCTGGACAGGACCCACAAGGATCATCAAGTCCAACTCCAATGTATACAGGCAACTCATTTTTATTTGTAGAAGCTGTGCACAAGGAAAAAAAAACACAAGTCATTGCTGCCTTGTAATAACACCAGATTCCCAAAGAATATATCACCTAACACGCTCTCCAAATTACTCAAATGTTTAAATTTTGCTTCATCAATAGTCTTTAGCACTTAAGGAGGTTTATTCGCATAAAAAAAAAAAATGCTTGCAGGACTAAGACTATCTAGATTAGTCCTTAACAGCATTTACTATTGCAGTTTTTTACCCATCTCATTTTTGCTTCATTCTTCCCTTTACATTTTATTTTAAACCTTCAAACCAATATTCAGGACCAGGTATAATTTCAGCCTGTGCCCCTTCGTTCTAGACAACTTGACTACGTGCCACAGGCACAGATTAAAATTAGAGCTTGCCGGAATACACGTTTTTATGGTTTCCATGAACAATGCAGTGTGTTCAAAGGTCAGCCAGCTAATCTGACAACCATTTTCATGGCTATATATGGAAATATGACTTCAAGTAATCATACAATCTGGTGTGACTACAGCAGCCACAAGTGATAAGCCCTAAGCACGCCTTGATATTACATGAAACTCCTTAGGTGTTCAAGAGGGGCTCGGTGCGCCGTCTTGGCTACAACTCCTCTGACCACCAAACCTGCCTGTGCAATGCTCGTGTCTCACAGTTCTCGAGGGCATCAGGGAACGTGTGTGTGAATTTAAATGACCAATAGAATCACTTGTATCTACCTGCAAGAGACAGACAAGATTTAACTGGGGTCCCTATAGTGACACAGAGGAGCATCTCACATACATCCACGCAGCGGATGAGCCCCAACACAAACAGTACTTCTACCTCAGGATTAAATAACTGAGGGAATAAGACAACAAACACACTCTTGTGTTCTGCTCGTCCAAGGCAAAGTCAGCATTTCTTAGTGTCTCAAACTAAGTACATTGACCTGCAGAGGTACATGGTAAAGAAGGAACAAAAGCAAAAACAGATAAGAGACCTGGGTGTGGAAGTGTCACACAACTATTAAGTGATAGGACTACCCACGGGCAAGGGGAAAGGCAGCTTTGGCATAACTCCTGTTAATGCCCCATACACTGGATTTGATACTTAGCTCTACCTACCTGCATCAATTTCCCTGAGTTCTGCAAGCCGTGAGCTCTGCACACCCAAGACTCATTGGTAAAGAAAATACAACATGGCCTAAGAGCACATGACTTTCATTAGCATCAAGTCACTCTCTCCAGCTGGAAAAACAGCTCCCTCTCCTTTCCATCTCTTCCCTCTCCATCTCCTGAGGGTAAAGATGACATTAAAAAAATGGGATAAGGACAAAGCAAGGAGACGAACTAAGAGTTTATTGAGCTGCTTACTGCGTGCTCAAGAAAAGTAAGCAGCAAAACTGGGTGAATCTTTTGAGGGTTTGAGGAGTGCTAGGTTTTGCAAGTGCAAAATGTTTTCCAGGGAACATCCAGAAGACTTCTTGCCTCCTCAGGACATAATAAGGTCATTATGGGCACTGAAGAGTCTTCTAATACCCAGTCAGCAGGAAGAACTTGACAGTATTGCCCAGAATGGAATGGATGGGGCTTTGAAACCAGGAACAAGCAGAAGCTTCTAACCTCATGCCCAGTGAAGGATGGAAAACAGCGATTTCCCTTTAGGGAAGTGCTATGAGTAGTTATTACAGCTGGGTGGAAAAAAAAAAAAAAGCCTGAATTTGTAGTTTGTTAAACACTTGAAGGAACTGCACTTTGAAATTCTACAGCATTCTGCCTACGACAACCGACATCGTGCCTACAATACCTACATTAATGTCATCTCACTGGTGACTTAGGAGACTTACATGCAAAAGTACTTTTGTGTTTTTCCAGTTCAGCACCGCGCAAATCCCACTTATGCAGTGTAAATGAAGAAATAACATCGTATAATACAATAACTTAATCCTATTTCTTCAGATTGAAAGCTGAAGAGTAACACATCCTGGTCAGACTCCTCTACCGCCCCAGCAGGTGCCTCGCATCTCTCCTAAATTTACCAAGGATTATGTCTCTGGGATTTTAACTCACCAAATTAGCAAGCAGTGCAAGTCACACCTTTCTTAGCCAAGAAGGCTTCCAAGCCTGTCTCATGCTCGGATGTTTGCATTCAGAGTGCTGCTTTAAACTTGTCTTAAAAAGTTTTTCTTACTCTGAATCACACAGAAAATTCTCTGTTTAAAATAAAACCCAGACGGACCTGGTCTTCCTGGAGCATCAAAGCAATACTTAGAGCATGGAAAGCTGTATGGTTTTTGCTTTCTCTCTAGGAATTACTCTTAAAAGGTAACATTTTATGAAGTCAGGTAGCAGAAAACGCTACAATATTTATAAAAAAACAACAACAAAGATAAAACCCAGTTACGTCTTACAGCTTCTTGAAGCCCCCCAGCCCCTTCCTATGCCAGCAACCCCTAAAAGACCGACGCAGCTTATAATTGTTAATTAATCAGCGCGTTTATCAGGACGCGACCAGCCGCCTGTTAACGGAGCCGGCCAGCAGCAGCCCCCGGGGCTCCCCCGCTCCCTACCTGAGCCGCCGCCGCCCGCTCTGCCGCCGCGCCCCGCGGGGCACGCGCCACCTGCTGCCGGCGGGCGAGGCGGGGCCAATCAGGAGGGCGGGGAGAGCGGACGGGCAGCTCCCGCGGCCAATGGCAGGGCGCGAAGGGAGCAGGGGCGGGACCGCCGCGTCCCGCCTCACGCCTCGCCCGGCAGCGAGGGCGCCTGAGGGGAGCGGGGCCGCGTGCGGCGGGGCCGGGCTGGGCCTCAGGGGGCGGGGAGCGGCTGTGGCGGCGCCTTCGCGGCCCGGCGCGGAGCGGCTGAAGGCGGAGCGCCGCCGGGGGGCGCGGGCGAGCGGCCGGCTGGCGGCGGAGGCGGTTTGGGTGAAAGCGGGAGGCATGGCGGAGCAGGGCCTGGAGATGGCCTCCATGATCCCCGCGCTGCGGGAGCTCGGCAGGTAGGCCGCGGGGCACCCGGCCCCTGCCCGACTGGGGCCCTGGGCAGTGGGGCGCGGGGCCCGGCCCGGCCCGGTCGTCTCTCGCCCCCGCCGCTGCCCCGTGTGGTACATCCCGCACCGGGTTTGCTTTCTGTCCTGTGCCTCCCTCGGGATGGATGCGAACTGCGCTTAGTCAGAAGCGTGTCCTGTTTAAGCGTCGTCTGCTGCTGCCCGAAAGAAAGCAGCCTGCTGCTGCTCCGATTCTACCTCCTTTTATTTTAATTTTTTTTTGTGGTCCTTGAATTTCTTTCATTCCCTTCAATTTTGCCACTTAAAAGGCCTCATAATCCCAGGAGCAGTACTAGTAGCATTCTGCAGGTGGCAAACTGGAGGGTGGGGGAGAGAAGGTTGTGGCAGCGCTGAAAGCTTGGAGCTTGGGTTCCTTGCTCCTTGAGGTAATGTCATAAAAAGCCCATCTCTTGTGCTGGGTAGGTAGAGCACATACAAAATAACACGTTGCATCACTTTTGTTCAGCTTGTAAGGAAGATAGATAGCTTAGAGCTAGACAGACACCTGAGTTTATCACAAGCGCGCTAGGAATCCATCCCATATGGCCTCTGCTGAAGCCATCCACAGTGTGTGTGGCATGTTCCTGCCCTTGCCACAATCTTCATTGTGTAACGTGAAATGAACCTACTTACCTCTGAGACTTCAGTGTGAATTACCATGGGGTCATTTGCTACGCATTTTCTCACAGATCAAAACCTGCTGCTCTCCAGCTCTGTTGAAAGAAGCTGCGCTGGGACAAAGATCAAACCCGTATAGGAGCATTTCATGACTGGGGCACGTATATGCTCCATGCATGCAGAGAAAGAAAAGTATTTGTCTCTAGAGTTCTAATGGCAGCATCAAGACCGCAGCTTGTTCTGTGGTAGTCAACTAGTTCACAAAGAGCTACAGTTGAATATTGAAAATGTGACCTTAAAAAGGTACCTGACATGGTAATCACCTCAGCAGTTGCTGTTGAAACCTCTTACCCTGCATACTGGTAGCTAATAAGCTGAATAATTTTGTTAATTTCCAAAGTGAAAAGGGTACTCAATTTTATTTTTCTGCCCGAAACCTTTTAGGGCAGGAAAAAAAACACAACTTTTGCTTTGTGGTGGTGGGTATAATAGGTCAGAAGTGTGTTTAATGTATATCAAATGTAGTCGCATAATAAAATTTAAACAATTTTCAGAGTTTCATACAACTTTGTGTGTATGAAAAATACGGGGAGAGAAGGACATGTAATATGCTGGTTGCTAAATCAAGAAAACCATCTGCATTTATTTTTGAAGACATCTGAAAGAGAAAATTACCTGTTTCTGTGTTTAACTCCGTATTATTTAATGTTTTAAAATTGATAACATAATGTACTTTTAATTTTAGTGCTAGTCCAGAAGAATACAATACAGTTGTTCAGAAACCAAGACAAATACTCTGCCAGTTCATTGACAGAATTCTTACAGATGTAGATGTGGGTAAGTATTACATCCCTATCTTTCAAAGTGATAAATTTTAAACGTGATTTACAGTTTAAGGAATCTCCCTTCTCTCCAAGTTACATCTCACTTCAACAAATGTTAGTAGTTGAAGTATTTGCTTTTGAGATACAAAGTGACTTCAGACAAATGTATAATTGCCCCCCCAAAAAAAAAGACAGCCTGTTCTTAAGTATTGTTTTTAAATATATAAGTATTGTATTTTAGCTTTATCATGTAACTTTTCTGGTTAACTGCTGTCTAAAACTGCTGTTTAAATCTGGGATAGTTTCCTTCTTGTGCTCTCTAAGTAACCTTGGGGAATTTGGATAAATGTGATGTGATTCAGATACTTGCTTAAAGGGAGCTGTGTAGCAGCACTAGATATCTCTAATATTTTGTTAAACTTGATTCTGTAAGCTGAAGTTGAAACTTAAAAACTTTGATTTCTTGCAGCTTTAGAATAATCCTCGGCGTTTTTGCTACAGAGATCATAAATCTAGGAAAACATTATTACAAATTAAACCGTTAACTATTTGCTATTTTGTACTAATCAAAGAGCTGGATGTAGTACTAACTAAATGAATGGAAGTAGTGTTAATGAATAATACTTATTAAGAGCAATTTATATTTTACTTCATACAGTTTGGTGTCATGTACAGGGTTTACAATAACCACAAAATGTTTTTCATGGACTAATATGGTACATTTCAGGTTGATAACTATACAGCTTTGATACAGTACCATAATATTTTACATAATAAATTTCTTCATCTCCTGTTTTAGGTGTGAACAAAATTCGTGAAATGGGTTTGTTGCAATGCTAATTCAGATTTTTTTTCTTTTTTTTTTTTTAAAGTTGCTTTGGAACTCATTAAGAAATCAGATTCACAGCCAAGTTCTGTGATGCTGCTAGATTTTATTCAACATATCATGAAATCTTCCCCCCTTATGTTTGTAAATGTGGGTGGAAATCAGGAGGAAACTGAATGCAGTTCCATTGGTGAGTTTGAAAGTGTTTGTATTCAGTTTTGGTATTTACAGGATTTAAAGTTTCTGCTGATGTATTCATACAAAAGAAAATAGGGAAAAGAAAAATTGGTAAGTTGGCCGTTACCTATGAATCTTATGATAGACTTTTATTAAGCGTATTGATTTGCGTATGTCATAATGGTAATTTATGAGAACTGAGTTTAACCTTATTCAGTACTTTTGCTTAGTAATTATGATACCGTCCAGCTAACGTTGGTAAGATATCCTATACAAATAGTTATTGCCTGAGGGGTTTTTTGAGGTGGAAAAAAATGTCTGGAACTACCCATTCGAAAATCAGTCTTCTCTTCCTGCCCACAATCCCTTCCTGGTTTTCAATAAGATCTCCTGATGAAATGTCCCTGCAAAAGCTTTCTGTTTACGAAGCTTACACATTTTTCTCAATGAAATTTTTTATTCCTTTATTCTCTTTTTTTTTTTTTTTACTGATGAATAATTTGCTCTCAAGGATGTGCTTTTTAGTAGGAGGCATTGTTTTTTATCTTAATAGTTTTCTGAGTGCTGTTTCTTTTCGTTGTCCTAGAATTTAGTAACTGGATCATAACAAGGCTTCTTCGAATTGCTGCAACTCCAAACTGCAACACATTGCACAAAAACATCTGTGATGTCATTTGCTCCTTACTTTTTCTGTTTAAAATGAGGGGTTGCTCCATCTTTGAAATACTGACAAAAGACTTGCTACAGCTTTTCCAAGATTTAATCTTCCTGCATGAAAGAGATGTACGAAAGCATCTCTGGGGAGATGTGCTGGTATGGCCGGTGACTGTGAAGAGATTTTCAAGCAATATAAGTGACAGTGTGGGATATTTAAAATCGGCACCATTAGAGCTGATGGGTATGCCTAACGTAGACTGTTTGGAAGTTATCTTATTGTCTATCCTGACGCATATTGTTGCAGATGTTTTTTTTGTAAGACAAGATACTATTCTCTGGGGGATAGGTTGCTCCCTGTTGGAGTATGGTAGTCCAAAAGTTAAAGCTTTGTCAGTGAAGTTTTTAATAAAATTAATCCATTTGGGAGGACCTCCAGAACAGCTGGCCAGTGTTTTCTTCACAGTCTTTTTTGGAATTCTACAATCAGCACCTGAAATGGATATTGAAGAATCAGAACTTTTTGAAGAACCACTCTTACTGTTGGTGAGGACACTATTACCTTTTGAAGCAGATTCTTACAAAAATATTGAACCTGTCTACTTGAACATGCTACTAGAGAAGCTTTGTGCATTGTTTGAAGGAGATGTATTTAGGTGTCTTCACTCTGAAAAGCTGAAAGCTGCTTTTTGCCATATACTGCAATATTTTCTGGAGTTTGTTCCACCTGGCTATGAATCTGCCTTACAAGTGCGAAAAGCCCATATCAATACCATCTGCAGTATTTTTGTGAATGTGCTTGGAACTCAGGAAGAACAAGAGGTAGGTTGATTTTAGAAACTGTTCGTGTTAGTAGATAATGTACATAACCTTATATCTGTGCAAAGAAGAAAATCCAAGAAATATTGTTGTAGTTGGATAATTTAATTGGTATTCCTCCTTGTTACTCAGCTGTTTCATGTATTTTTATAGGTTAGAATTCTTTAATTTAACATAGCTGAACCCTGTCTTTTTGAAATATATTAAGCTATTGAGAGGCTATGCAGGCACAAGTATCTATTTACAACTGTATTATACAATGGGGCTAAGGCACAGAATAGGGTTAAACAAGGGTAGCTTAACAAGTAATTTCCCTTCATCATATGAGCTGCTTTTCCTTTCTAATTCTATGCGTTGTCATACTTTGTAGAGACAGGGAGACAGAAAGGTTTAATTTAAAATAATGAGATGTGGGTGTGCTGGGTGTTCTGTCTTAACCCATGCAGCCACATGTATATTGT